TTAAAGATGTTAATTTAAGAGCAAAAAAGGCTCCAAAACTTAATGAAATATGTAGTTTGGATGTTCATTTATGTCTGTGGATTATATTTTATACCACAAGCACTTTATAAATACCTGAAATTTGCAATAAAAGTGCCCAAAAATTGTTGTTTCGAAATTCCCCATTTTTCCTGTATCGCGCTAGTCACGTGACCATTACGCGTAGCAGGCAATGTACAGATATTACAGTACATATAATATGTTCAATATGGCAAACATCAGCGATTCTGATTCCCGGGTTCTGGGAAATGGCTATATAAATCGGCGAGAGGGTGTAATTTGAATGAAGACAATTTAAGGAGGGGAAATGTGTGCAAGTATGGCAGTAAGAGAGCAGATATGGGGACTTTAGACAAGAACTATGAGAATCAACTAAAAATGTGAGTTCTGGAATGAAGACCCGTTGCCATTGACTGAAGATTCCAGCGATCCTCAGTTTGAATCTAGACGCGGAAAACAGATTATGAAAACAGGTTTTCTGCAAAGTTATCAAATTTAGAAAATATGGATCTTGTTTTTGAGTGGCTTAACAAGCATTTAGATACAAGACTTGGCGCTATCTCTTGTCAAATTTGTCAAATACACGCAGACTTGCAGTAAATTGGCCATTGCAAATTGCAAAATCAGATCGTCAAATTAATCGCTTCTTTTTTAAACCTATGCTTCATATCTTTTTCCAAAACTTTAGGATTCGATAGAGATAAGTTATAACTTGTACAGGAAAAAATGGCAGATCCTACCTTAATTTAGAATCGCTGATTTCTCTGGACAAATTCCGAGAAGAAATTGTTCAACATCGCGATCACCTCAAACAACATGTCGCGTGCGTGTCACTCTGAACTCACGTGATAAAATACGGCATCTTGATTGGTTACTACTCGTGTTGTCATGACGCGAAAAGCAGTAGTAAACACTGAATATGTTAATGAACTGCCATATATGGAACAATTGTCTTTCTGATTGGTTAACTTTACATGCGTCCTAAATGAATATAGTAGTCGTAGTAAATGATTCATTGATAACTCTGAAAGTGGGCGTGACCAGCTTCATTTTGACACCAAATTCAAGATGTTTCAAATCAAAATGGCCTCGTAAGACGAGGTTGAAATATCAGCAATTTGATACTGATATGGTCTACGATAGATCAAAATTGCCTGCCCCGCGTCACATGTCACGTAAGCCTATATTTGTTGAAAAATGAAAGAGATAGTGACACTTTTTAATCTTAAGTTTATACCAATATTACAAACACATATCTATTTTTTCATTATATATTTATTTCTTCATTAAACATACATTTGTTTTATACTACATTGATTTATTTTTGCAAAACCTTTGCTATTAGATCTTTAAATATTCGCAATATTAATGCTTCCCACTAAGTTAATCGTGTTATAGGCATATGAAATACTATTTTCCCATCGATAAATAAGTAAACTGATGATGCATTTTACTAAAAATATGAATCTAATGATCGCCAATACACTATACATTTTAGATAAAGTGCGAACAACATCGCTTTTGACTGTTCGTATTTTTAATGCGTCAATGGTGGAAAGCCGGAAATATAAACAAACACAATTCGTCGTAAGTTTATTCTGATTTTATTACATATATTCTTTCATTTATGTGTACATACAATATAATAATTTAATACAAGCATATCCAATTTTTTTCTCAACTCGAAAATGATTTGATTCATCAACTTCGACTCGATTCGACTTGACTCGAAGCCCCAAACCCGCAAGTCCTCGACTCATCGGGTTGTCGTCTCACCCCTAGTTAAGGCGTATGTGGTGCCACGATTCTGACACACCCCTGGTGGGATCAATGATTTGCCAAGAAAAAGCATGCGTTCAGGGACCCTTTTAATTTTTGAAGTGCTTCAAGCATGATTTTTCAAGAAGTTCTTTGTATTTAATGATTTTTTCTTTAGGTAAACGCTCTTCATGACGTCTCGCATCTAACTCAATTCCAAGACAAGAAAAGTCATATCCGAATGGGGGCCACAAGTCTTCTCTCTGCGAGAGGAACACCTGCATATTTACAAAGTTCTGTAAAGGATGATAAATCTTTTTTGCAATTTTGACAGTTTTCAGCAATGATCAAAAAATCGTCAAGCAAGTGCACCATATGACTTCGTTTGAGTTTGTTTATCGCTGCTGAATGTATTGCTTGACTAAAAATCTCGAACAGTGGACACGAATGGGACAAACCCATCGGCAGAACTCGATCATAATAATAATACCTATCTATCATGAAACCTAACAAAAAATAGAAGTCTGGATGAATTAGGATGTGTAAAACTTGTGACAAAAATAGTACATTTGATTTAACATATACTATTACTGATCAAAGCCCCTGGCATGAGAAAAAATATTTTGCGTTTTTTGTATCAGTGACCGGCCTTCTTTGTATTGCATATGTATAAGATAGATGGTGCTGACTGTGATGTATCATACCTGTTGGCCCTGTACCTGTTGCTGGATCGTTCAGAGCATCCTTAATGATCTCCAGTTGATCATTCTCTATTGCGTCCTCGAATATAAATATTCCCCGGCCGCTTACTCCTCCTCTGTACCTCCTTGGTTTCGCATATTCGCCATATCCTCCTATCTTTATTTCCTCCATTAGCTTTTCTTTGGATAAGCTTGTTTTAGCCAAGTATTGGTTGGCCACAAAGATGCCCGTTCTTCCCTTTGAAGAGCCCATCTGAACATAGTTGATTGCGACACCCTGAAATTAAACAATATATAATTAATTATGTTGTACAGCTCTCAAAAGTTAATGGTATCTATGATGATGCTCAATCAGATGTCCTTTGTAACTAATATACCTTAAATCATACAACAATATTTGTGGAGAGAACATATATAACATATTGCGAAGTTTACAAAAATAACTATTTTGATGCATATCGTTTGTGTTGGATATTTTTTTTAATATCCAAAGGTGTATGTGAGTGTATTCTAATTTGGACCAACTCATCAATAGACCCTTAATGTCCCCCGCAATGAAAGCCCTACAATGAAATAATAGCAGGATCAATTCATAGAACGACCTACTGCAGGAGAGAGCGGGGTAAGATGGAACGCAAGGTGAGACGGAACGTTGGATTTTTATTGAATACTTGTTTAAAAGAGGTTACTGAAGTAAACTTTTTTTGAAAATACATCAAGTGATCTTTCTGTTCAACCACAATTTCTTGTCGGCTTCAACTAATACTTTAATAAAAAGCCATCGTTCCGTCTCACCCTGCGTTCCATCTTACCCCGCCCTCCCCTACAAGACATACGTACGCGTTCATTCATGCATGTCTCAATGACATTCTCTAGAAAATTTTCCACAGTGCCCAGTTGTCTCTTGTGGAATGCCTGTATGTGGCGTCTATTTTTGTCCAAGTACACAACAATCATTTCCCTGACATCAACCTGTGTCATGGTGGACAATTGCATCAATATCTGGAAATTAATCAAATGAGAACATGTATCATTTAAAATAGCTTATATTTTTTGAAAAAGTATATCAATGTTTTGACCAGTTGATTTGCTCGACTGAAAAACCAAGATTGTGTAAACAAAACGAGTAATAATGCCAATCTGTTTGCTTAATACTGGTTCTGTTAATCTATGAATAAGCAAAACTGAATTTACAGTCTCTTCAAATACAAATTGCAATAAAGATATAAAAACCATGAGAACGAATCTGTTATTTACATGTTACATGCTTACCACTGGAAAAGCAAAAAAACATATGAAGGCAATGCAACATGTATTTGATAAAATTTAAACAAGTAAGCATGAGTTGAAAATTTATTAGAAAATTACGTTTCTGGTATGTATATATATGTATGTATATATGGTGTGTGGGTAACTGTGTACAATTCAATCTTTTTATACTTAATGAGAATGGTGATGTCTTTAGGTGGAAATTTGTGAAGTTTTCAGCGGTGAAGAATCTGTTTATTGAACTAAATGAACATTACAAGAACAATTTACCAGAGTACATTATCCTTGATAATTGTTGCAATTGGTCACCACAGCTAAATTCTGTAATGAATGTCCCTGTAAAATTAGATATTTTTCATGCAGTTCAACGTTGCACAAAACACGTGAAAAAGCAACTCAAACATAGGAAAGTAATATGTTCTGACTTACGTTTACTTTTTCGAAAATCTACTGACCATCATAAAACAAGGCAACTCCAAACCGCCGATCCTATTGAAATCTTGAGAAATATTGAACAATTCAAATTGAAATATAGTGGTTTAAGAGAAAATTGTGAACCAGTTCTAAATTTCAAGTTGATCAGAAGCCTCGAAAACCTCAAACACCATGCCCGAAAAGGATGCTTATCTGGTATTCCAGTTGGTTGTGGTACCAATAGAAACGAGGCATTGCATAAGCGTCTTCGCAAAACTTTGGGAAAAAACAAATTAGGCGTTGGTACAGCTCATGCACTCACATCCATGCTCGTTGATAAGCATAATCTCACTCGTGGAGTAATGTTAAATATATCTCATTTATCCATACCTTCAAAAAATGTGGTTACTGTTATGGATGTTGACGAAGATGGTTTAACAGAATTAATATCAGGAAACCACAATTATAATGCATCAGAATTAACCGATTCCATGATTGTTTTAAAAAGGCGGAACAGGAATATGATATCTTGAAAAAATTGGATATTCACAGCGAATACTTTGATTGGGAAAATATTCCCTTTTTTAATGACAATTTTTGGAACCTCGCAAAACTTAACTCTTTCTATTTTACTGATGATAGCATTCTTGATCGCAACATTGAAAATTTTGGTTTTGAATTGATAAATATCCCTGGGGATGGTAATTGCTTTTTCACTACATTAGCCTATCAACTGTTAAATATAATAGAAAATCCTAACACAAATGTTAATATGATTCAGCATTTACAAAATATAGGTGTTGCAAAAAACGCCGTCATGTCAGATTTAGTTAAGAAATTAAGGCGTTTGATCGTGGACGAATGGATTTTGAACGCTGACACTTACAATTTATTTTTGTTGAATGGTACTGATATAGAAAAAGAGGCATCTTTGTTTCTTCAAGATGGATTTTTCGATGGTGCATTAGGTGATGCCATGCCTTTAGCAGCAGCAAACATTCTTGGTATTTTCATAACAATCGTAACAGATCATGAGTCTAATCCATTACTTATCGTGCAACCTCCTCCAAGTAAGGTTTTAACAACCGAAACTGTTATTCACATGTCCCTGCGACAACTGGAAAAAGTAGCTCACTATGATGCCTTAATACCCTATACCAATCGGATAGCAGTCTTTCTAATTCGGAAAATTCTCAAAAATCTAAATAGAAACAAATTAATTATTGCCGTTGCGGAATAAACAAAAATCAAAATGCTATGAAAGTTTGCTCAACTGGGAGATGCCCATGTATTAAGAATGGGAAAATGTGTTCTTTGAAGTGTAAATGCAATAAAACTGAAAAATGCGAAAACAAAAACACCAATTCGACCATGTATGGTACCAATAAATCAATAGGGAATCAACTCAAAAAAACAAAAGAAAACCAAACAAAAGGAAAAAGGACAATATTTTCAAAGTCTAAATTCACTTACTCCAGTTCGGGCACATTCATGCGATTACAGGGGGAAACCATGCCATCTGGCAAGTGTGATCTATTCAACCTGCTTGTAATATACCACATTATTCTTAAAATGTGCAGGCCCCCAGGGGGGGTTCGCAGGGTTCGGGCGAACCCCCCCCCCCCCCCCTGGCCAAAAATTATTTCAAAATCATGCAGTTTTTGACCATTTTGAGCACTTCTCAAGTGATTTTAGCCTAATTTTGGCCAAAATTGTCAAATGTGAACCCCCCCCTGGAAATTTTTGAAAATTGAACCCCCCCTTGGCAAATCCTGGCTATGGGCCTGGCGGTATTTACATTCTGAATATTGGCAGAACTGGCCTTTGTTCCAACGAATACACACGGTTTTTTCATCACGAAAAGAACTAGAATTAGAGGCATTCTCTTTATAATTTTGAGACCCATTATGCCCACATGATTTCAATAAAATGGCTGCCAATAATTAAGCTCATTATAAGGCACAGCACAGTCCAAACCAAATTTCTTGTTTCTGCGGAAATTATCATCATATTTCGCCCAATCTGCCCCTTGGGATAAACTGAGACTTAAGATATACGCCCCATATTTAAACAATTTCAAAGCTTGATCTGCGTGATTTGGTACAAATACTGTCATGAAAACATAAAAAGCACTCTGCCATTCTGCAAAAGACCATACTTTTTTCTTTTTGTCACTAGGTGCCAGCACTACTGATGTTGAACCATCTTCATTCTTTTGACTACTACATTGCAAAATTTGTTTGTTTTCATCCTTTGATAATAAAACAAAATCTATTTTCTCACCATTTATGATCTTTTTCTTCAGGGTTATGCTCACATGGCTATGCTCACATGGCTATCTGAATGTGTACCTTGCAATTGAAGGGTATTTCTTGATGTGTCCCATACACTCGCGGGAGCGATCATCAGAGGCTGACCCGTGTCTACCTGTGTATTTCCCATTGCTTGTCCTAGGGGAGCATCTGACCTCCTTGTTGATTCAGGACCATTTGCTGGCCCATGCCTTCTTGTTGATTTTGTCCTTGTATCACGCCAATGTTTTGTTGGTTATATTGTTCATATTCCCTTGTTGAGGCTAAGCTATATTTCCTGAGAACATATTCTGTCCTTGACCCATGTTCCATTGCCTTCCTTGGGGAAATTGTTGATAAGCCATTAAGCCTGTGCCTGCTTGTCCCCCGATCTGTCCCAGCTGACCCATATTGGCTGGGCTCATGTGTTCATTCATACCACCCTGATGGAATTGTTGACCTGGCTGGCCAATACCTGCCTGGCCTTCCATCTGACAGAATTGTTGACCTGGCTGGCCCATTTTCTGATTTCCCAGACCTGACTGGCCCATTTTCTGATTTCCCAGACCTGACTGGCCCATTTTCTGATTTCCCAGACCTGACTGGCCCATACCTGCCTGGCCCATCTGATGGAATTGTTGACCTGACTGGCCCATCTGATGGAATTGTTGACCTGACTGGCCCATACCAGCCTGGCCCATTTGCTCATTGCCTTGACGCAGTATCTGCTGATTGCCTTGGTTTATATCCGCTTGTCCCACTTGCTGTCCCGGCTGGCCCATACCTGCCTGGTCCATTTTTTGTCCAGGCTGACCTATGTCTGCCTGACCTATTTGTTGTTGGCTGCTGTTGGCTTTGTTGGGCCCCATCTCCTGGTTGTTGTCCCATATTGGCTGGTCCCGGCTGTGGTTCTACTCCGGCCAGAGCTGGCTGTTGTTGCAGACCTATCATCTCTTGGGCTGCTTCTGGTTGATTTTGGGGATTCATTACATCCACCATGCCACCCTGTGGGGTTATCCCTGGAGGTTTGTTCATCCCTCTTCAGTGTACCTACAAAGAAGACATTATTAAACTCCCTGACAAGTGTCAACTATACCGAACATTTACACATTATCCTGAACATTCAATATTTATATGCAATTTCACAAAAATTTAATTTCCTGTTATCGATCACATAAAGATTAATAGTGTTTAATGCACTAAAACTAATGCTATATTAAAAAATTAGCTGATATTTAACCACACTTGTAACTTTGCATTTAAAATATCCAGACATGCCTATTATTATTTCTAGATTGGATTTTGTCAGAATTGATGTAACTCCTTTATTACAACACTGATAGTGAATGTGCATTAATCAAGCTATGCGATTATGGCGAGGGGTAATCTATAGGCGTAAAAGTGTACACAAAAAGTTAAACATGCCTCAGCGGGACAAAATTGTTGCTACCCTAAGGATGCAGTATCCTAAGTTCAAATATTTGTCCACAAACAACATGCACCTACACTTAATCACCTGGATTGTCGCTCCCCGTAACGTCCTCCAGAATTCTTTATGTCCTCTTTCATTCAAATGGGTTCCATCTTCTTGAAGGAGGTCTTGCACAAATAACTGTACACCTTTAGTATACCATAGATGAATGTTCATAAAATCTTTAAACTTCTCTTTCAACAGCCTATTAGTCATCTCCACTTTTCTATTATAAACCTCTGCTTCCTCATCTGTGCGCAATCTGGGGTGTCTGATACCCCTCTGTAGAAGAGTTTTCTGACATACACCAGTGGTACTTTCTCTCGAATTCTCTTGGCTAAGTGAATAATTTTGTCAACCACTTCCTTTACCTCGTCTCTCCCAGTAAGCTGATTTCCATCAACTGGTAAAAACACGCCATCAAAATTACAGAGATTGATGTGTTGTAGGCGTTTCTTCCATAAACTTTCCGTCGATGCCCCACTCAGGCCCTCATACGTCAACAATGCATTTGTTAGTCCAAGGTTTGATGGGCATTTCCAGTTCACTGGGGGGACTATATCCTACTTACAAAGCTATGACCAGCTATTAACATGCGTGGCAGCCTCATTGTTTGTACCCTGAAACATTGACATAATTTAACCTAAAGCCCATGCTTCAAGTGCTACCCGTATCATGTGATTGATTTTAAATGACTTTTTTACCAATTATCGCCCACTATTACATTTCTGAAAACCTTATCCATAGTGTATGTGCTACTGATCTACCTCCATGCCTAGCCACGCGTGTGGTGCTTGATCATAAAACCACCATCCTGATATGCTAGCGATCTGATTTCATTGAGGTAATATATCGATACAAGTCTTTGATGCCAGTAACATTCAAATAGTTCACTGGAACTGATATTCTAACGCTTCAAAAAAGATCCAAAATATCGCCATTTAAAATTTACCTTCTCCAAAACAATTTTTCCAATTAAGTCTTCGAAATTTCAAACCCCCGTGAACTATTTGTGTCAAGACTTCTTCAGCACATACAGTGAAAGCTTATCTCTTCAAAAACGTAAGCTGCTTACCTCAAAATCTTTATATAAGTTGTGTACCAATCGAACGAATCCAGCGAAGTTTAAGTCCTTTGTTTTGCTGCTTTCGGGACGCTATTTACCTGACTAATTCTCTGGCTTTTGATTGGTTGGAGCAGTCTTTTCAAAGATTGTTTAAAAGTTGGAAAGAGCACAGAAGACTACCTTACAAAACTTTATTGAATATAAATCCATTATTCTAACATAATGGTTATATTTATAATTAAGAAAAATATAGCATATAAATGATAATTATCCTGGTATAACCAATGTTCAAGAGTCTGGATTCTAGGTTTAATTCTTTAATTGTTTATATTGAATTGTCTAATGTCTATTGAATTGTCTGTATGATATATGCGATATGTTGTCGCCACATGTACTCGAGAGTCCCTAATTTACACACATTACTAAATAACGTCATTGTCCCAGATGTGCCCTCTAGTATTTGAGATCCACAGGCATCACAAGACATGCTGAGAGCATCACTGGATATCAGAAGCAGTTTATGCTTGTTTTTTGATTTGACATTTCTCTTACTGGGCCTATTGTTCCTTCCTACAAGGTTGCTGCATAGTGGGAAATAACTCATCATTGGCATACTTAGGGTCATCTATAATAATTTTTAATTCTGCACCCTGTCTCAGTTGACCTGCCATGAGTTCATCTCCTAAATTATTCAAAGATGATAGATACACTGGGATGAGCCCATGGAAAGGGGGTTTTGTCACGTAATCACGTCAGGTGGTAATACTTTTTCACGTCCCACGTTTCTAATCAGAATTACATTCACGTTTCACGTCATTGATCATCAAAATATAACATTCACGTTTCACGAGGATCAAATATCATTACATTCACATTTCACAGGCGTTAGAGACATAAGAGGCGTTAGCCAGCAAAAACCTTCATTTTTGCAGCCAAATGTCTTGGCTCAATATGGGCCTTGAGGTTTTTTTAAAACTCTGATTGTCTATCTCTGTGGCACTCTTACATTTTGTAAATTTCACATTGCTGAGCGCTATTTCCCAGCTTGCGATCCCCATTAGACTTAATGTTTCAGAACTTAATGATGTTATTTTTGTTTTCTCAAGGTCATCGCCAATGAAATGTTTGGGAAGCCTGACTTTCAGTTGTTTTCTTTGACTAGTTTGTTTAGTTTGTATAATAATAACTAAATTAAACACAGACTCAGACTGGGGGAATAACATGGGATATGTGGTTTTTGGCTCACACAGTGAGCCTATGAGATCGACCAGGTGTCCGTCCGTCCGTTGGTCCGTCCGTCCGTCCGTTGGTCCGTCCGTCAACATTGGCCGCACAAATTAAAACTGCTATTCGGATTGAGTCGTACCCACATTCATTGTATGCACATCCATAATGCCTATTTGACCTATCATCGCCATTTCCCAAGTTCGCCCGGTTTCCGAGAAATTGTGGATTTTGACGTCAAAAAGTCAAATTTTCTGTAAATACTGGACACTTTGTGGAAGTAGAACTTTCAAATAACTTTTAGTAGTTGCTGTATATGCAACTTATGTCCTCTGAAGATTTCAAAGCTCTTTGAATTACAGTTTTTGGTGTTTACTCTATAAAATTTGGCAAAAAGTAGGATTTCGTCATTTTCAGGAAACTTTCTCATGTATAAAGTCAATGGCAGGTTTTGTGATTGACAAGTTTCTCAAAGTTTGCCTTATACTAGATCATTTCTTGCAATGAATTACATCATTACTAGATTTAAGCATTCCCTACATATTGCTCAATATATGTCAGCATCAAATTTTTACAGTTTTTTGAGATATTTGACGTCAAAAAACAGTAAAAATAAGTTATTTTTCAACTTGCTTCAATTTGACCAATTTTTTTTAAAATCATCTACAAGTTGCCAGGAGCTCAAATCTGACATTAGTTTTAGGATTTGATCTTTACTTGACCTTCGGTTACCTTTGAAAGGTCAAAAAAGTTGATTTTTCAAATTGATTTTTGGATATAAATTTTGGTCAGCTTAATCACAAAAGACCTTACTGAGCTCTGAATAAGTCAAATTTTCAAGGTCAAAGGTCATCAAACTAGGTCACACAACTGTGCTATCAAAGTTTATTTCTCAAAGTTCAAGACTACAAATCCAAATCAATATTTTTGTTTTAAAGTCAGGATATACATTCCTCTGAAGGTTCCAAACTGTGTGAGCACAGGACCGTGGGTCCTATTTTTATAACTTTAATGCATTTCAATACGCATCCCCTTTTCAGAAAATATTAATATAGTGTAGAAGAAACTTTCGATATGTTTAAATTGAGAAAAACAAGATCCTCTTCTCAGAAAATGACCCTAACATTTTCAAAAAAGTGCCAAGGTGGGGTCCTTATCCATAATTTTTCAGAGAGTTGGATTGATATTCTATTATCATGGGTACTTCATTTGAAAGAAAGCATATTGTTTTAATGAAAACAACTGTATTGATGGCCAGAAAGTACCCATGGTGAAAGATATGACTCTAAAATCACTTGCCATACTGCACATGGACCTTTATTTGCTAATTAATAAACGGAATCGTCTACATTTCAAATACCGCCACAACAACAATCAAGAACGCTATCAAAAGTACATTGACCAGTGTGATATTGTTAACGAGGAAATAACAAAGGCCAAACTTGAGTATGAATCACACACGTATGAGAAATTAAACTCCCTTAAATATGGCAGCAAGTCTTACTGGTCGGTCATATCTAAACTTTTATTCAAAACTAAAGTTGTTAGGATTCCTATTTTGACCAACCAAAACGGCTCTTCTATACTCACCAGCACAGAAAAGGCTAATCTATTTCTTGACCATTTCATCAAAAATTTTCATTCTGATCATAACGTAGATACAGACAGTGTTCAATTTGACCTTAGAACTGATTCTTTTTTAAATATCCTTTCAACAAATGACAGAGAGATTTATGAAATTCTTTTATCACTCGATGTTAGCAAAGCTTTAGGTCCTGACAAACTAAGTAATAAAATGCTCAAGTTAGCAGCTCCATCTTTATCAAAATTATTTTCAAAATTTCTCAATAAGATGTTTGAAATGAGAAAATTTCCTAATTCCTGGAAACTTGGGAATATTATCCCATGCCATAAAAAAAGTGACAAAAATCTTGTTTCTAATTACCGTCCAATAACTCTATTAAGCTGCCTTTCAAAGGTAGCCGAGAGAGTTATTTTTAAAAGGATGTTTGACCATTTGCTAACAAACAATCTTCTATTTAATTTTCAAAGTGGATTTCTCCCAGGTCACAGTACACAACACCAACTACTAAGTATTCTTGATTTCTTAACTTCTAATATGGATAATGGTAATGATGTTCGTGCAGTCTTTCTTGATATATCGGCCGCCTTCGATACTTTACCCCATAAGCTATTACTCAAGAAGCTACATGCATACGGTTTTGGTCCAAATATAATGCTACTTATTGAATCTTATCTTACCAATCGAAAAGTAAGAGTGCTTATTGACGGTCACGAATCTCCATGGTCAGCCAGCGACTATATCAATTCGGGAGTTCCCCAGGGGTCCATCTTAGGACCTCTGCTATTCTTAGTTTACATAAACGATTTACCTGATGATATTTTAAGCAAGTGTTTTCTGTATGCAGATGACACTTCTCTTTATCAGCCCTTCAGCCATGATAATATGCCTGAATGTATAAACACTCTCCAATCTGATCTAAATTCTATAAACAATTGGTCTGATAAATGGCAATTAAAATTCAAACCCTCTAAAAGTGATGATCTGACATTTAGTAGTCCAAAAAAGAATGAAATAATAACCCCTGACCTAAAATTGGGAACTGAATCCATACCTAGGTGTGCTTCGCATAAACACCTTGGCTTTATCCTTGACTCTAAATTATCTTTCAATTTCCACATTACTCATCTTGCAAAGAAAATTGATAAGCTTTTAAATCCACTTAAAGCATTAAGTAAAAAACTTAGTGGAAACCATCTAAATCTTATGTTCAAATCTTTTATCTTACCACATTTTGATTTCTGCGACATCCTCTATGGATGTGCAGATATTTCCAAATTAAAACGCATTGACCAACTCTACTACAAGGCAGCTCTGATTTGTAGTGGAACTATTCATGGGTCATCTTCTGAAAAGGTGCTCAATATTCTAAATTGGCCTAAACTAGAGATGAGGAGGAAGTTTCATCGACTAACCCTCATGTTCAATGTCCAAAATCAGAAAGTTCCTTCATATGTTCAAAACATATTTGATAAATATAAGAGACAACAACCTCCTCTCTATTTGAGAAATCCAACTGAATTTGTCTTGCCCGCTAAAAGATCTGTGATATTAAAGAAAACATGCATTTTTACTGCTATCTCAGAATGGAACAAACTACCCCAACAACTCCAAGAGATAGACAATTTAAGTACTTTCAAATCTAAATTGACACTTCTCATTTATCCAGAACCTATCATATCATCTACCTCATTGCATTTACCTAGACCAGAGGAAATCAGTCTTAATAGGACTAGAGTCGACTTGATTTTTCAATCTCATTTTCATGCCCACAACTTTACTCTAGCTGATACACCAAAATGTAAGTGTGGATTCAAAAGTGAAACATCCAAGCATGTCATCTTTAACTGCAGACTCCGTAGGACCCTCCTAACTGACTTCGAAATTAAACTAAATAACCTTGAAATCCAATATAAAAAGAATTTTAAGACCCAACAAGAGAAATTGAATTTCTTTCTTTTTGGCAGCTCAAAACTTAACTACGCTACAAACATAACTGTTCTTGAAACTAGTGCCTCTTTTCTCCAGAAGTGTGTAAGTGTCTGAGTGTTAGCAGCAATTATCAAACCTTCTATGCTTGATTTATTCACCAATTTGCTTCACCAATTGGATTGTTTTTTGAAATAAAATTTTATAATTAACCCTGCGACTTATAATGTTAAACAAAGTCGCCTTTTTGGAAATTTTCTTTTTACATATATTATTGTATTAAATAAAACATGATAAATAAAAAAAAAAAAAAAAATTTGCTTTTTAATAAAGTATTCTTTATTTAATGTTTGCTATCACTCACTGTTTATAGCATCTGATGGTGCTGGCCTAAGAAAAGTGCTGGGGGATTCCACTGCAGGAGATGTGGTAAGTAAAGTTGCTTTATATTTCCCTTAGGAAAAAAGTTTAGGGCACTTCCCTTGAGTTAAGGAAAGTTTGGGGTTATTTTAAGATTAATTTGTCCACAAACCTTAACATTAAGGTTAATGTTAACCTTAACCCATTTTTTACCTTATCTTCCCCTTAAATTTTAAAATTAAAACCATGAATAACCCATAATGTTGATTTTAGGGAATATTTAGGTCAAGTTTGGGTTTAGTATCTAGGTTTAGTTCAGGCTTAGTTTACCCTTAATTTCTAGAATGTACACTTAAGATATATGGAGGCTACTGATTTGGAAACACATCAGCCATCAATGAAATAAATTAAATTTAAGAAACTTTAAAGATATTTTGGAACAGAACAATCCGGTAATTGTCATATTTATTCTCATTTCTCTATAGCCTAAAAGCCAAATATAATTCACTTGTTATATTAGAGATCTAGCTTTAATAAAAAAAGAGATTACTGGCTCTTGAAATAGCTCCAGAGAGAATCAGAGTATGTTATCAAGGGGCTTAGATTGGCAATGTTTAGAGGTCAAACAATTCATTATTTTCAAATAATTGTAATTTCTGCTTTCATTTCCATTGTGCCAACTAGTCAAATTTTAACTACTTTAAACATTAGACCCTTAGCACATATATTGGAAGAAATACAGGTTCCTCAAAACAGTACAAGGGAGTACAAATCTAGTGTGATGGTATTAGGGATTCCTAACAAGGGGTTCAAGTAGAAATCATTAAATTACCTAAGCAGTCAGTGAATCCCATTTTCTATAAGTAATATCAAATGATAGGGGAAGTTATGGTTGGCTGGTGTGAATCAATGGGAATATTAGGGAAACTTAGGGAAATTATACATGCACTCAAGGGATAATTAAGGTGCACTTAAGGGCAAATTAAGGTGGACTTAAGGGACAATTAAGGTTCAATTAATGTTTACCGAGGTTCATGTCAAGGGTAGATCATGATAAATTATTATCAGAAATGAGGGTCACATTGATTTCGGCCATATATTGAATACATATTTAAGAGGAAGTCATCAGGCTTAAAATTAACAAAATACATAATTTCCAATGAAATAAAATACTAGTACTAGTAATTACTTTTTTGAGGAAAATGACTCAAAAAGACATGCTTAGAGTCCACCAAATCATTCCTATTAGTAGTTGACAATGTGTCTTCTAGTCAAATATTATTGAGCTGTAATAATAGACCTCTAGTCTCACTAACAAACCATACACATGCCTTCCAAAACAGCTCCAGGGAGGATTACAGCATGTTATATAATGTAAAAGGCTAGATTGGCCATGTTGATACATCTTACATATCATAAGTATCAGGTAGTTGTCACTTTTATTTTCATTTCATGTTAGTCTAAAAGCCAAATATTATTCACTTGTTATATTAGACATCCAGCTCAACTAATATAATAGACATGTGACCCTCAAAACAGCCCCAGATAGAATCGTAGTATCTTCATGAGAGATTCACATTATGATTTCAATGTCAGTGGCTAGACTGGCCATGTTAAGATGTCTTATAAAGCAGAACTATTAGGTAGTTGTCATTTCTATTTTCAATTTTTGCTAACATTATAGCTAAATATTGTTCACCTGTGATATTAGGCATCTAGCTTAAATGACAAAGGAGATCACTGGGCTTCAAAACTGCCCCAGAGAGAATCACACTATGTTTTTAAACCAAATGGCTAGATTGGCAATTTTAAGGCCTCTTATAAAACAGAGGCCTTATTCACAAAGCATCGCAATTTGAATGCAATTGCTATTGCTATGCGATTGCGACATCGCAATTTTGGCGCGGTATTCACAATGACGTGATATCGCAATCGCGTAGCAATAGCAATCGCATTAGGATAGCAATGTGTTAATTAGTAGCTTTGTAAATGTTGTAACTCAAAATTCAAACATTGTACAATTTCTTTGGTTCAAAAATTACCGCCGATCTCACATATAGAAGAACTATTACTCACCTTCCTTAGAAGGCATAATTTCCCGTCAATACCATAAATGGAATCATTTCCGATTATGATTCATTCTTGTATCAATTCTACTTTCATACGTAAATTACGTCACGCGGCCCCTAGCTAAGAATAGCATCGCTTACGGGTATATAAATGGCAGTTTAGACTTGATTCGGGGAGAACTGGGATCGGATCGAAAGCGCGGAACTAACGGGGAACTCGAAACAAACTCGGAACTGGGAACGGAGTTGAAATGGGGAATCTTGAAGGGATCTGTGAATGGATTGGAAACATGGAAAGAGGGAGAAAGGGGAAACAAATTTGATACGGGTAATTTGCGCGGCTTTGGAATAAGGCAAATGAGGGACGAAGTATTTTCAATTAATATTTATTATTCATTATTTGTATGAGAAGTTCTTTTATTTAACAAGCGCTGATATATTATAGGAATTAAATCATTCAACAAGGATCTGCATTTGACATGAAACATATATGTTTGTAAAATGTAAAAACACACAAACCTCACATCAAGATTATTTTATATAATTATCACAGGCCAAGCGAGTTTGAGGAGTTTGAGAAGTTTGAAAAGTTTATGAAGTTGAGAATCTAGAATTGAAAGTTAAGAATTTAAAATTTGATATGATTGATGTTCAATTAGGAAATATTTATGAAGAGACATACAATTGGTAAAGCATTTGATCCATTAAGATAAATGTACTTATTGCATTAATTAGAGAACTGTAAAGCTTGGAATAAAAATATTTGTTTTAATTATAATTAACACGTCCGTTACAATTATTTGGGAATCATGGAATACAAGTTAAAATATTGGGGAACATAATGGTCTGTTGTGAGTAACCGATTGGACCACGATCCCCGGGGCAAATATAAATTTCATTCAGGGTGGGGCTGAATCTAAGAAAAAAAAACATACAACAATCTCTTTATCTATTAATGGAATTAAAGTTCATGTCCATTCCCTCATGAAACGACGATACCTCTCGATCATCTCATGATCATCGTAAATATCCAATGGATGTGTTCTGTCGCGAAATAATCTTGGTCTTAACGAGGGAGATGCTGTCTGCGGTTCACCGCTATCATCGCCATTTTGTTTTACGGTGTCTCAGACGACTGATAATGGCGGGAATTATAACATTGCGATTCATTGATAGCAATTTTAGATGAAATATAGAAAATATTCTTCCATTATTTAAGACGACTTTAGACCTTATTATCTCGTCAGAACACATGGAATGACGATTTTTTTAAAATCGTATGTTGGTGAGTATACCAAAAAACGTTGTATTAAAATAGCAGATAATTCGGAGAACGCTAAACGCGTTTAATTAAAACATAAAGCAACCCTTAATATTGCGACTGTATTGCGGCTGGTTGAGGGTAGTCGCAATTATATGACGCTAGTAATGCGATTGAATTGCTAAGTCGCAATCGCACTTTGATTGTGAATAAGAATTTTAGCGATTTTTGCGATGGTGATTGCGATGTCGCAATCGCATAGGATGCGACACATTGTGAATAAGGCCTCAGAACTATCACATAGTCATAATTTCCCTGATTATTTTGATTTCTTGCCAGCCATGAAGCCAAATATAATTCACTTGTAATATTAGATATCTAGGTTAAATAACAGAAGAAATGCATGGCTCTCAAAACAGCTCCAGAGAGAATCAAACTATTTTGACAATGTCTAGATTGGCCATATTAGAATGTCTTAAAAAACAGAACTATCGGGTAATTGTCATATTTATTCTCATTTCTCTATAGCCTAAAAGCCAAATATAGTTCACTTGTTATAGCAGTGATCTAGCTTTAATAAAAAAGAGATTCCTGGCTCTCAAAATAGCTCAAGAGAGAATCAAGGTATGTTATCAAGGGGCTTAGATTGGCAATGTTTAGAGGTCAAACAATGCATAATTTTCAAAAAGTTGTAATTTATCCTTAAATATGAAACCCCCACCGCATATATGGAATGAGAAATAGGTCCCTCAAATCAGCACAAGGGAGTACAAATCTAGTGTAATGGTACTTCAGTGACTCCCCCAAAGCGGTTCAAGTAGAAAACATTAAATTGCTTGAGGCAAATGAAGCATTCATTGAATTCTATTATATAAATAATATGAAATGTAAAATATAACCATCATTATTAGAATTATTTACTGAAAAATCAATAGCTACATTATGAGTTTGGTACAAGGGGTCTTCAAAGTTTAGGGTAATTTGAGGGTAAATTCAGGGTAAATCATTTACCTTTTACATAGATCAAACTTTATCTATAGGGGCCTAAGTCTGATGGAATTTCAGAATTCAGTTTCAAAAAAGTGAAATCATGGTTGACTGAAGTAAATTTAAGAATAATTAGCTAAAATAAACAAAATACATAATTTACCATGAGATAAGTATGATTATTTTATTAAGGAAATGACCGAAAAAGCCATGCTTAGAGATCCACCAAATCATACCTATTGGGTAGTTGTCCTTTTTTCATTTCTTTCTCCCAAGAAAGCCAAATATAATTCAGTTGTAATACGAGACATCTAGCTTAACTGCCCTAAAAACAGATCCTGAGACATTGACATTATAATATCAAGGTAAATGGCTTGATTGGCCATGTTAAGAAGTCTTTCAAAACAGAACTTTTGGGACATTGTCATTTTTATTTTCAATTCTTGCTAGCCCTAAAGCCAAATATAATTCAATTGTAATATAAGACATGTAGCTTATATAACAAAAGAGATACACTGCCTTCAAAACAGCTCCTGAGAGATTCACATTATAATATCAAGCTAAATGGCTTGATTGACCATGTTAAGATGTCTTACAAAACAGAGTTATCGGGTTGTGTCATTTTTATTTTCATTTTCTGCTCACCTTAAGCTAAATATAAACCACTTGTTATATTAGATATCTAGGTTAGATAATGAAAGGGAAACATGGCCCTCGAGACAGCCCCAGAGAGAACCACAATATGTTTTCAA